AAAAATTTAATGTTGTAAAGGGCAAAATTATTTTGTTTCCCAGTTGCTTAATGATTTCACTCCTATATATATCCAATACTGGCATATGTATATATATATATATATACATATGCCAGTATTGGGCTCAAACACTACTCCTGCATGAGTAATGTCTACATGAGAGTGGAGTAGGTCAAACACTACTCCTGCATGTATATTTAGTTTATTAAATGAAAACTTTAGTTATTTTCCCTTTTTTTTTAAGTGTATTATGTAAATATAAATAAATATATATATATATTCAGAAACAGGTTTGAAACATATTCACATAGATATTAGATTTTTTTTATATGTACATATACAGTATTCTTTATTAGTTCAAAACTGAACTTCACAATATCATCTTCTAAGACACAGGTTCCCAAACTTTTCCATGTCTAGCAGTTCTAAAAAATTATATTCTTGCAGCCCCTAACAAAGTTTCTAGGGAGGGTGAGGAAAAAGAAAACAGTTATGTAATCAAATTTTAATAATAAACAAAAATAAAACATGGAACTAAAAAAAATATTACAAAATTTAATATTTGCATAAATTTTTCAAAACAATAATTAATAACTATTTCTATTCCTCTGTATTGGATATTTTTTTTCAAATTGTGGCACTTTATTGTTAATAGCAATTCGCATATCTGCTTGAGCATCCAAGCGATTTCTGAATTTTGTTTTGATTGACAAAAGAGCATACTTCACAAAGAATTCCTTCACATGCAGAAAGGCATCTTTTTCTTTTGTGATTGTTTTCATGTCTTCACAGAACAAGACATCTTCCATTATAGCAACACTATGCTGTAGCACCCAGACAGGATAGTAGTTAATGACGCTGCCTACCATACCAAAAGGTTCGAGTTCAAATCCCAAAGAAGGCATGGATGTTGTAATGTAAGTGTGTAATGGTTGTTTAGCAAGGAGCACTAAAAGCAGAAGGTGAGGCGAAATCCTTGAGAGGTTGGTGGTAGGAGACTTTCTGACCACATTCAGAGCATTCTTCTTCAAAATTCCATTTTGGTGGAAGCTTAGTACTTAGCAAGGCCCAGCAATACCTAAAGTACCCACTTAGATATACAGGTGCTGGTTTTCCTTCAATCTGTCAGGTACTAAAACAAGCTTATTTTTGTTGCCCATCAGTTATTATGAAGGGACAAACAAACATAAGCTTGATTTAGGTAATTCTGATTATAGATGCTAAAATATACATTATGAACATAAACTCTTTAGAACAAAACAATTTCAATAAATATCTATTTGATTTGAATATATTCAAACATCATATATACTAATATTTTCAGATTTTTTTACCATACAATGTTTACAAGAGAAGGATTCAGGAGACAATTACAAATTATTATTATTTTACAAATCTCTGAAAACTTTTTATCAGTTTCAAAATTATTTGAATGAAACTATTTTGAATTTACTTAAAAAGTCATATTTTCATCCTTTTTAACTGAGATGCTCACACGTATGTATTCTGACTCAACACAAATTCAAACATTAAAATAAAAATAACAAACACCAGAAACATATATTATAAAATTTAATTCAATCTAATACATTATTACTAGATGTAAATTAAAGAGTATAAAATTCTAAAATACATATGCAAAATCTGATGTGCACATCACATTACTTATTAAATTATACAAAAACTGCAGATTTTGAAATTTAAAACACTGCTCAGTCTTTGTCACATGGGAGTCAAACTTCTCATAATTTCATTTTTTATAATGAGTATAAAAATGTCCCAGATATTTTTGCAGACATAAGGAAGCTGAAGATCGCATTAAAATAGATTTCGTTATTTGTCAAAATAATTTAAAAAAAAAAGTTTTACATTGATAAAACACAACTATTTTCATCATTTAAAGCATTTCAATGATAATTGGGAGTATAGACTAGGGCCAATGATTGTGAAAATTAAGGCTAGGTAAAGGTGTGTGTGTGTATATATACACATTTGGTTCTGGCAATTACAATAAAAAGAGAGATGCACAACTATAGCAGTCCCATATACAACAAACATTCTACGGCTAATCTTTTTTAGTTATGTGAGATAAATACATATGTATGTACAGAAATCATTGAAAAAATTCCTTTTGGAAAAGAAGTCGTTTATTCTGTGCATATATACAGATGTTATGCAAAATTATGCATGACTGTATGCATGACTTTATGATAACTCTTATGACAATGCATAAATCGGCAGAGATTTTAAATAAAACTATTAATTTTTTGGGAATCTGACACAGGAGCCCCCCCCCCCAAAAAAAAAATTTTTTTTAGACAGCAATGTTCAAAAGTAGAGTTTTATTTAAATTTTCTGTTAAAGGTTGTTCTCAAATTTTGTATTTTCTTAATACAATATTTTGATTTACGGTATAAAATGGGTTTATAACCAGAACATTTTAAAGTTCTTAGTCATTCTCAGTTTTACTTGGGACAACAAATTAACAAATGATATTAAAAAAAAAATGTTATTGTAACTTTTTTAAGTTTATTTTTTAACAGTTTTAAGATATTAATATATATATTTATTTGGTTTAATAAAAATATACAGTTTAATTTAAATATTACAAAAGCCTGATGAACAAAACTGAATTAAGAGTATTAATGAACTATTAAAGCAACAGATTAATAACATATTTAATTTTATAGCATACTTCATTTAAAATCTTTCCTAAAGCAGTTTTGAATAATAATGAGAATAAATATGGCACTAGTTTCAATTCACTAAGCATCATCAATTTAAAATTTTTTTTCTCTCACAGTTTTCCTCAAAGCAGCTCTTTTACATAATAGGAATAATTATGCCTACGAACCTATTGGCCTTTCTATACATCTTAACTTTTAATTTTTCTATTTTGAAAGGGTCAACTTTGTGGTAAACTTCCGATTCGTATTCACGTCAACTTCGTAACGAGTTCTCGACGATAGCGATCATTCACGACGCGAACGACCTAATATTAATAATACGACTACGAACAAAGACAGAACAAAGACAGATTGAACAAAAGCTTGGCTACTTTTGAACAATGCACTTGGCTCTAAAATTTATTCTGGTAACCTTACATTGCATCAGCGATTTCGAAAGGCATCATGGGAAAAAGTACACATTTTTCGGTAAACTTCCGGTATCAGGGACTCAGTTATCTGTAAAATTCTTTTTGAGGTTTGTGGCTACGAGCTCTTGAACCACGTGTTTGGAATGACATCACTTTTAATATTATTTTCATATAATATGCATTTATTGTCCCTTATTATTTTAACTAATACGTCATTACTTTTAATTATTTACTCATTTTTTTACGATTTATTTTAATTATTTAATCCGTCATTATTTTTAATTACTTTTAATTGATTCCATTACATTTTAATCTGTTTTTAATGAATTTTAAAAATAACTCCACGGCTGAGATTCGAACTCGCTCTATCTGGGATGGGAGTCTAGTGCTTTACCCCTCGCCCAAGCCCTTCCTGTTATCAAACCTGTTATTTTTCTGTTTGGAGCGAAAATCACCATGACGTCAATAGGCTGGGGTAAGGCTACTATAAAGGGGAGCTGAATCATCATCCATTTTGAAGCTAACTTGTTGGTATTCGCTATTGGATTTGCACTGATTTGTTGACATATTTGTGGATTGATTCCAACCTAATTTTCAGAAATATGGGTGGTTGTGCTGCACCAAATTGTTCGAATCAGTCTAAAAATAACTTTAGGATGTTTCGTTTCCCTAGAAATGAAGAAAGACGAAGAAAATGGATAGTTAATTCTCGTCGAGATCAATGGATCCCGGGCCCAGGAGCGTATCTTTGTGAGGTAAGTTCAGCTTCGTATTTTTCCATAGAATGTTAGAAAAATTACTCTTCTTGGTACTTTAAAATATGTATTTTCATTTAACTGTCACTTATTGACGATCAACTGATTTTATAAGTACAAAATCAACTGCGGAATGTGTATGTGTTTGTGCAGTAAAATATCGTTGTTTCTTTTGTTATCGTGAAAAGTTTATACCGTGTTTGTAAAATTTGTATCATACATTTCATGTAAACTTTGTGCTCAGTTAGAAATGTGATGTGCCTTTTTCTTTTCTTTAATTTTACTGTACGATTGGTGATTTTAAAGTAGCATTCTATGTTTTTGATTCTGATGTATTGTCGCCAAATCGGATAGTTGGCGCCAATGTTAAAAATAATGAATGATTTTGTTTTTTCTTTATAGTAAGATAAATATATTCTGTATTTTTAGACATTTTTAAGAAGTTAAATATTAATTTAAATATTCGATGAATCGTTTTGATCCCATTATTATCCTTTATTGTAGTAGCAAATCTTAATGTTGTATTTTTAACTATAGGTACTTTAAATTTATTTTTAGTGTGTGAGCAGGAAATATGTTTTAAGTAGTTTTACAAACATGATTACTTTTTAAAAATTTTGTTCTATTTTCATAAAAAAAATTAAATTTATCAGAAAATTACATTCTTAAATTAATATAATATATGTAACTGTAATTAAATACTAGTGCTTTTGATTTTAATGTTAAATTTCATGCATGCTTTTGTTAAATATACAGGTACATTTTGAAGAAAATCAATTTGAATGCTCTAGGCAAGATGGGCGTAAAAAACTCAAGCCCAATGCTGTGCCAACTCTTTTCAATGTGCCTAATCCCCCACAACTGTTGACCCCCACAGCGTCTAAAAGGCATTGGTTTACCAAAGCACCGTTCAGTTACATCCAATTTTTGTAATGTATGTGTTTTTTATTTTTATGGTTTTCATAAAAAAATATGTTTTTATTACAAATGGACTAAATTGCTTTATAAAAGAATCAATATATTGAAATTAAGGCATTATGTGATAAAGCTGTAATTACAGTCCCTAAGATTAGATTAAAAAATTAAAATTTTGCTGTTGTTATATATATAATTAAGTATGTACTTTGTTTGTTATTATAATCATATATTGAAAATTAGGCATAAAACCTCAATTTGAGTTTTTGTAGTTTTTTCAAGGACAGTCATACATGGGTCTGGTTTCTTCAAATTTGCTCCTAAAAGAAAGAAACCTGTATCTGATTGCCTTCAAAGTCAAAAGAGTTTAAATCAAAATTTTATATTAAACTAAAGTTGCTTTTTTTGCTTAATTTTAAATTCCAGATAAATAGAGAGAAATATGTATTCCAGATAAATAGAGAAATATGTATAAGTAAAGAAATAATATTGAAATTAATAACTTTAATCTTGAGTAATACAATAATATAGTTATAATACATTGATTTAAATGTATATTTTAATGTCTTATATGTCTTGTCTGAATGTTGTTATTTTTTGTTTAAAGATTTACAAAACTTATTAGGATTATTTATATTATTTATTATTAAAATTACATTAAGTATATTTTATTTATCAGCATTTTCAGGTATCCTTACTTATATGTGTTTCATAATTTTTTTTTGCATCTTCAGGGTGGCTTGCTGCACAGTTTACCTTTATCAACTGAAGCGATTTCTGTTGCTGAACCATCTGTTGTAAGTCTTCATTTGAACAGTTATTAAATATTTAGTATTATAAACTTTTTCTAAAAAGTATTAACACTGTTTCTAAAATTTAAAAATATGTTAACGTAATATTTACTTATGTTTAAGAAGTATGAATGCTATGAACAGTCCAATGTATTTATGCTTTTTTATAAGTTGAAAGTTACTTTTAAAATGGTAATGATTATTTGTATTTATTTTTATTATCCGATCAGAGTTTATAATTTCTTTCACTTCCACATATTTCATATATTATAATTTCTTTTAGGATTCATTTGCCACAACCTTCAGCTTCATATTTTGGAGAAATAAATTTTGCTGCCGAAGTATTTGATGTAAATTGCCATTTTGCACTTCTAAAAAATTTTAATAGTTTTTTTTTAACATCTATTCGTAAACTGTACTATGTTTTTTTAAATGTTTCCATCTTCATAATCATGCACTTTGTTTCATTTCACCAGTGGTTGCAAATGTGTACATTACAGTACATATCAGGTGTGTTTGCAACAACATTTAGCATTACCATCTGATTAAATAACAGCTGCTAGTAAAGAATCTATGCTATGTTTTCATTTGAGCAGCTATTAAATGTCATATGTTTTACATATATTGATGAATTTTTATACGATTTCTGAAATATGAAATTGTTTGTCTTATGGTTCCTAAACAGCTGTACTATATCTGGCTGTTGTGCTATGGAATTATTTTTGAATTTTTGAGTGTTAACAATTTATTATCTATTTATGAATTATAAAATGTTATGTAAAATAATTATTTCTTAAAATGAATGTAGTTTATATTATCTGTATTTCTAAATTTCTTATGTATATATTTCAGGTTTGTTTGCAAGAACAAGCTTCAACTTCATCTTGTGATAAAATGCCATCTATTTGTGAAGGATCTCATGTAAGTAGATAATTAGTGTATTATTAAATTGCTTGCTTATACAAAACGTTTCTATAAACTTTTTTTTTTGGGGGGGGGAAAGGAATGTAATTAATTTCATCAGCATTTACAAATTCTTTGTGTACATTTCAGGTTTGTTTGCAAGAACAGCCTTTAGCCTCATTTTGCAATGAAATACCATCTATTTGTGAAGGCTCTGATGTAAGTTGATAACTAATGTATAATTAAATTGCTTCCTTATATACATTTAAAATGTTCTATAAAGTAATTTTTTGGTAAAAGGAATGTAATTAATTTCATCAATAGTTGCAAAAAAAAAAAAAAAAAAAAACAACCTTTAGTCTCATCTTGCAACCAAATTGTAATTAATTTTAATTAATTTCATCAGCATTTGTGAAGGCTGTGATATAAGTTGATAATTTGTGTTATTAAATTGCTCATGATTATGGAGATAATTGATCCCTTGAAAAGCTGGAAATAAATTTTAAAAATCTATTTTTAAGTGAAATAAATTTTAAATATTAGAAAATAAAACAAAAATAATCTAGAAAATGCTGAAAACAATAGAGTCAAATTTAAAAACCCACCACAGTATAGGGAAAGAGACCTGGAAGTTTCATTTTTATTTTGTGGATTTATTATCTGTTTAAGTTTGGCATTTAATCCAAAGGGGCTTTGTCCCTGAAGGACTATTGTTTTCGTTTTGTATTGAAACACTATAAACGGCTGCATCACTTTTCAAATTGTTGCCACCAAATATTATCGCCCTGTACTATATTTAAAGAAATTATATAGTGAAGAATCTGCATAAATGCATGTATGTTTTTCGCATTCTGATAAAACAACGGTACCTAGAGCCATCAAATTTTGAATGACTTAATTCTACTGTGAATATGGACATCTGGAAGCCCGAATTTGAAATTCGGAATTTGTTTTAATATAGATATTTTATATGGTGTAAAACTTTAACGAATTTTTTGATTAACAAACTTGAGGATTTCAAAGCGAGCAATGGCAATGTTTTACAGAAAAGACACTTTTATCTCCAGCATCTCCGCGTGAGACAATGAATCGGGAAATTCTGAAGATATGCTCATTTTAAAATTATCTTGCAATATTGCTGTTGAACTGAATTTTATAGTTTAAGTGCGAAAAACTTGATATTTAATAAATAAAGGTAAAACACAAAATGTTAAAAAAAGCCCCTTTGGGTGTAATTTAAAATCTGAAACCTTTCAGATCTTTTTTGTTTGTTGTGTTCCCCCCCTTATATATGATTTATATATGATTATTCATATAGATTTTTTCTTTATTCCAGGATGTTCTTTTAAGGACTTTTATAAAACAGCAGACTGAATTGATCTCTCGCTTCTGCAATGCCAGAACAAAATATTACTGAAAGAACTTACAGCAACCAAAAAAATGAAATTAATGTTTTTAAAAAAAATGGCATAGCACTGAAATTCAACTTCATGACCTTTCAAGTACAGCATGAGGAATTGCTGAAAGGAGTGAAAACATTTCTTTCAGATGAACAAATAGCAATGTTGAAAATTCCTCGTAGAAGCATTGCAAAATGGTCTAACGAGGGAATAATAAAAGGCCTCAAAGTTAGATTTTGCCTTGGGCAAGCATGGTTATAATTACTTGCACTAGAATAGGTTTTCCTGTGCCTTCATACAGCACTTTAAATAAAAGACTTCAAGGTCTTGAAATGAATTTTGGAGTCATCAGTGACATGATTGAACTTTTGAAAATTAAAGGAGAAAAAATGAATGCTAGTGATAAAGACTGTATTTTATCATTGGATGAAATGGAGATTTCTGGCAATCATGATTTTGATATTTCAAAACGTAAATTTATTGGTAAATGTACATTAGGAAATCAAAAGGGTGCAGGAAATCACTATTTAGTTATTTTACTAAGAGGTCTGAAGCTGAAATGGAAGCAAGTGGTTTCCCATGAGATAACTGGACAGGTAACAGGATGCCAGCTGAAACAACTTGTTGTCAATGTTATCGAAGCTGTCATTTCTGTTGGATTTAATGTTGTTGGTATTGTTAGCGATATGGCAGCAGTAAATAGAAGCCTGTGGAATTCTTTGGGAATATCTGTTTCTCGAAACCAAAGAAATAATTTCACTACTGAAATTAAGGGCAAAATTATTTATGTATTTGCAGATGTGCCACATCTTTTAAAAAATCTCTGGTCTGCAACTCTTAATCATAGTATAAAACTGCCCAGTTATGTTTGCAGTAAAGAAAATTTCATTACTTTGCATGTATCTGCAGGATTTATTAAAAGATATCTGGTTTACTGAAACAAACCAAAATTGTGGTTTGAGAACTATGCATCATCTCAGTAAAGAAGACCTCTTCCCCTCACATTTTGATAAAATGAATGTTGCTTCTGCTGTGAGGTTTTTTTTAATTAAAACAGCTGTGGGATTGGAGAAGGCAGTAGCTTTAAAAGAGATAAGCCCTAATGCTCTTACAACAGTATGGTGGATAAGATTTATATGTCAGTGGTTTCAAATGCTATCCTCTAGATGTAGAAAGAACTCAATTTCTGTGACAAATAAAAGCAAAAAAATTGAGTTACTTTTTGAATTTATTAATGTTATACAGCTTATAGAAATTGGTAAAGGGTGGAAACCATTACATACTGGTTTGATTCTCTCTACTTTATCAGCCATACAGTTAGCAGAGGCCTGTTTTCTGAATGATTTTCAGTTTATTTTGACCAGCAGATTGACACAAGATGCTCTAGAAAATGTATTTTCTCAGATACACAGAAAAGCTGGTTTGAGGCCAAGTGCTTTGCAAGCTGTGAAAGCATTAAAGCTTATCTGTTTATCTCAGTTTATATCTCACATTAAGAACTCCAGTTATGCTACTGATTCAGATATTTATTTATTAAACTATGCGAAAGATGAATTTGAATTTCCGAAGGAGAAAAAAAGCTTTAGAGCCTGTTACCATACCAGAAGTTTCTGATGTATCTCTACAGAATCTCACCCTTAGTGAGGAAAATAACGTCTATTTATATTGCAGGAGCTGCAATAAATTCTGTTTTGAAAAATGCTTGTAATTCATGCTCACAGTTTCTCTTAGTTTGTGAGCAAAATACTCCTTCCATTGATGAAAATAAGCAGTACATAATTAATTTTGCAAATTTAGGTGGGTTAAATGTCCTTCTCCTAAAATTTTTAAACTGTGCCTTCTGTGTGAGAAAATAATTCAAAATTTTCAAGACGAAATAATATGCGGAAATGTAACTATGGATGAGGAATTTATTAATATGATTTGTAAGAAAGCAGGTGAGATAAATATTCCTTCCTGGTTGCAATATCAAAATGTACAACAAATAATAATAAAACATTATTTGACTGCCCGTCGAATTGGTCTCAAGAAGCTTCTTCAAAATAAAAAGCAGCAGCAGCGGCAAAGTTTTGCATCTCCTGCTTTTAAAAGGAAGAAAGTAAATTAGAATCTAATCAAGAAGTTTAAGAAGTTTTTGCTGTTCAGTTCTGTCTGTAAAAAAGTAGAGTAGTTGTCACTGAAAAATTGTCTGCTTGTCTCTTCGAATAATAGTTAGGCCCACCAACAGCCGAATGGTTAAAGTTACTTAATGCTGGGAGTTCCATCTTCTGTTCTATTTCCGAACAGGCTGGCTGCATGGTTGGTTTTTTTGTGGGTTTTCCCCATGTGTAATGTGAGTACAAGCCAGTTCTCCTTACAAAGTCCTCTACAATAGAAGATCTCATAGTCAGCTAAATCGGATTTACTTTTGTGTGACCTTAAATGAGGCATCAATTGTGAATCTGTTTTGGCATGTTATTAGGAATTTTGAATGAAACATTTATTGCTGTTGTGAAAGAATGATCAACTGATGTTTACCTTACTAATCAATGTCTTATAGTATTGTAATGGCTTGCAGGATTTTTTATAATGTGATGTTGCATATGTTTTACTCTTCTTTGTTACCAAATAAATAGAGTATGTTCCTAATCCGACATTTCTTCTTTTGTACCAGGGTTATGTAATATGATGTGATAATTTGGATTTGTTTATAGAATACATAACAGTATTTTTTGACATTCTAATAGAACCAGTGTATTTTATTTATTTACTTATTGCTTTAAAACAGATTTTGAATCAAGGCTTACTTCCCACCCCCTTTGAGTATGCCACATAAAACATGTTTAAGCTATATTTATAATATATCAATGAGATATATATAATGAAATAGGTCTCTTAGGTTAGCTCCCTTAATGGAAAAAGAACAAAATAAAAATTATATACCTTGAAAACAAGAATACTATCTGAATAGTGTTGGCTAAGATTTATTCAAATGGTTTTTTGCATTTATTCAGACATCTCCGCATATAAATGACAATTAATTATATTATATTATCGGGTTGGAGGGAAGTATTTTAAATAGGCAGGTGATTTTTCTTGTAAATAAAAAAAAAATCTGGCTAGCGAGTCAATCGGATTTTTTTTTTGTTTTTTTAGCTGCTGTATAATATAAAAGGTGCCCTTTTTTACCATTCATCATTTACTTGTAATATTTAAAGGGAAAAACATGTCGGCAGATAAAGTGCATTTATTACACTGCATTTTATATGAATTCCAAAAAGGAAGCAACGCATCTGTTGCATGTAAAAATTTATGTGCGGTATTTGGAAAAGATATTGTAAATGTTCGTACTTGTCAAAGATGGTTTAGCAAATTTCGTTCCGGGGACCTGAGCCTCAAAAAAAGTGTTCGATCTGGACGACCATCCAAGATCGATAATGATGTTTTGCGATCCATGTTGGAAAATAATCCACATTTAACAAGTCGAGAAATTGCAGAAGAGTTTGGCATTCATCATACAACAGTTGGAGATCACATTAAATCTCTTGGGTTTGTGTTAAAGCAAAGTTTTTGGGTTCCACATGAATTAACGGAAAAGAATTTGTCTGATCGTGTAAGAATATGTTCATCACATCTGATTAGACACAATGTGGAGCCGTTTTTGGACAGGTAGGTAACTGGAGATGAAAAGTGGATTCTTTACGAGAATATTAAAAGAAAAAAATCTTACTGCAAACCAGGAACACCATCAGCAACAGTTCCAAAACCAAGTATCCATCAACGAAAAGTACTGCTTTGTTTGTGGTGGGACAGGAAAGGTCCAGTGTATTACGAGTTGCCGAAACAGGGAAAAAACATCAACGCGGATCTGTACTGCAATCATCTGGATAAATTGAATGCAGCTATCAAAGAAAGAAAGGCCAGCCATTAGCGTCCAGAAAAGGAATAAGTGTTCCATCACGATAATGCTCGACCCACATACTGCAAGTGGTGACACTACAAAAACTGAATGCGTTAGGATGGGAAATCCTTAGTCATACCCCGTATTCACCTGACATTGCATCCATCTGATTATCATACCTGTTCAGATCTCTGCAAAATTATCTAACGGGAAAAAAATTCAAGTCTTTTGAAAGTGTTTCTAAGGCAGTTGCTGACTATTTTAACTCCATGGATGAGAACTTCTACAAAACAGGAATTTACAGGTTACCTGGAAGATGGCAACAGGTTGTAACAAATAACGGAGCATATATAATTGATTAATATTAAACACATATTTTTATAAATGAATTCAAATATTTTCTTTAAAATACGACAGAACTTTCCCTCCAACCCAATAGTTTTAAAAGTAAAACTAATATAATATCATTCTATATAAAGCTGTTTGATGTATAATGGAAAAAATTCAATTACTGCAGTATGTTTTAATAAAATTTGAATATAATAGACTGAATTGCACTACATTAGACAAAAAAGCAAAACATTTTATTTATTTATCTTTATTTTCACTATATATGTGTTTGTCATATGTTTGTTACTAGAGGACTTATTTTATAGATTTGAAGCTAAATAATATTTTTATGTTTTTACTTATGCAAATTAATTAATAAAAAGAACTGTGATTTAAGTATTGTCTTTGCTGTGATATAGATTGAATCTTATTATGTTATGGAATTATCATTTAAATATTCAGATACGTGTAATATTAAGAGCATATGTATGTAAGTATAATTTTTTCCAAGTGTAATAAATAGTAACTATCACAACAACAAATAACCTATAAGTAAATAGTATCTGTAAATTCTGTATGTAAAGGTATTATCTTTATTTTTATTTATTTGTGTGTGTATTATTTTAATATTGTTTTTAGCTAAATAAAGAACAACAATATATATATATATATATATTGTTTCTTTATTATTATATATATATATTTAATGGAATTTTTTACTCTATTAAATCTATGAATCCCACAGTCATCTGAGCATTGAAGTAATTTTTATAGCATTCTGCACTTCATTCTAAAAGCATTATAATTTAAAGGTGTATATCCTGAATCAGTATTTAAAATCATAAAGTGTTTAGCAGCTTTTTTCTGGAAACACACACAAAATAACATTTTTTAACAACAATTTACTACAGTAATAGACGTTTGATTCCATGTGAGCAAAATTCAAATAACATATTAAAAATAAAAAACAAGAATTAAAGATTAAATCTTGTCCTAAATTAATGGAGGTTGAGGGATTTCCCTCAACCATATTAAGAATGTGGTTGAGGGAAAGCTCTAGTCAAAAATACATTTTGAGATGAATAACATTATGCGTGTATTTAAAAGAAAAAATTGAAAATTCAATAAAGGAATTCAAAAAGAAAGTATTTTTTAACTAAAAATACAAATTTGAAATATGATATGTTGAAAATGTTTTAGAAACTTTTTAAAATAACTTGAATAATAATACGATAAATTTGGAAATTAAAAAAAAAATACGAGAAAGAATCTGCACTTCAGACAAAAGAAGGGGAAAAAGCCACACATCTTTATAGGAGTGCAGAAAAAAGCTGAAATTTGGATTCTCTAGAATGTTAAATTTTAGCGGACAGCGCTAAAGAGCCAAAGTTGCCGCTCCATACCTAAATTGCAACCCTAAAGCTTAGATTCAAAATGGCTGACGAGTCAGCCTGTATCTCTAGTAGCTCTAAGTTAGGAAAATGAGCGAATTTGATAATGTTGTTGATTAACTTAGGCAGGTAAGAGCGTTGATCGGAAGATGCTTCAGTGCTTTGCTCGAGATGCCATCGTGCCCTGGGGCTTTCTTCGTTTGTAAGGCGCTGATGGTGTTGGCAACGATTGTTGGGGTAGTAAACAAAATGGAAAGACGACTTTCGTGACGTCAGAGCGTTCAAGCAACCCTAGAGCCTTGGCTTTGTATGTAGGAGGTACTGATTTAGCGCTGACCCTTTGCTGAACCCTTTTTATGATGATAATTATTTGATCTTTGATGATGTGGGGATAAAGGCATTAAGCCTATGAGTCTTCTAATTGAACATTTCCTTGACAACACACCCACCATATTGATTCGATCGTTTTCCGAGAGTGATAAGAACAATGGATCGCGAGTTCAGAGTGAGCGTTGTGTTTCAATTAAAGGCCGAAACATCAAAACCACTCCAAAATGATGTGGTATCACGACTAACGATCTTTAAATGTTTCAATTGAATGAGGTCTTAATATCCCTCTTGTATTTTAACTAAGTTCTCAATAAATTTAGCCCAAATTAAATTAAGCTTAAATTATGTAAAATTAAAAATTATTTAATACTTTAAGCACAAAATAGGAAGTTTCCAAATTTTTTGGCATTAACAATCATGGCTAAAAGAAAAAGTGATTCCAAGGAGAGATTTCTAATCAAATCCCGAAATTTGTATGCAAAATTTGAACGTGGAAAAATAAGTACTTCCACTTCATTCATAGAGTTGAAGTAGTAATATGATGTTAAGATGTTATTGCTAATTTTTAACTATTTCATATATAGATGAAACTAACTTTTGAAAGTGTTGTTGATTAATAGAAATGACTTCAATACATTTTGTTGTACATCCTCTGCCTGGAAGTGAGGATCAATTGAATGAAAGGTACAAATGTATTACTAATGAAACATATTAGTGTAACTCTGTTACATTTCTAAATTTGTTCATCTAAATTAAGTTCCTGAAATAGTAGGGTTAGGTTATTTAAGAAATGTTTAAAATCGATTATTTATGTAAAAAAATAATTTTAAGTTATTTATTGTAATTTTGTGTAATGATACTCTGGCACACACAATATGTCCAGTGCTGATTAATTACGTTTCACTATTTAAGTTGATCTTTTAAGTATAGCTGTATTTTATTATCCACATTTGAGCTTGAATGCAACTTCTTTGAGGTTTACTGATAATATATATCATATTAATAATGTGCTGGTGACTAAAGTGTTCGGTTTCCATTGTACTGGGATTAATAATTATGAGTTTTATTTCTTATTTTTCTGAAGTATGTGTCTTGTAGTTGATTAAATATTATTAATTAGAATTTTATTAATGAACAGTATGTATATCTTGTAATGTTCTTTCTAACTGCGAATAAACTTATAAAAATAACATATTTTAGCTTTCATCTTGAAAATACTGCTAGTTCTTTGTACATTAAAGATGTATAATTGACTGTAGATAATGCATATTTATAATCTGTCATTTCATATTAAGATATTTGTTAGACGCATAATACCACTTTGATATGTATTTAATTAAAATTTTGTCTCCAGGTATCAGGTATGCATAAGGCTATTCTGTAGTGACACTACATTCAAAAGTAACTGAATATATATAGTTTGATTGTTGTAAAAAAGAAGTGATTTAGGTTTGCTTAATGTTGTTTTAAAATTTTTCACTGAATAATGTTGATTTATGTTGAGACTGGTTTAATTTTTCATTGATTTTTATTTAATGTCATTTGTTTTTCTTTGCTAGTTTGTGATAATTTTGAATACTTGCTAATTAAATAATGCAGTTAATATCTGAATTGATCATGCTAGATATATTGATAATTGGATAGATTCAAAATTTATTATATTGGTAGCAAAAAAGTTTTACTTTTTATATTATTATTTTAAGAGAGTATATACAAGGAAAAGGGAAAAAATAATTCCTTTACTTGAATGAATTACAATATACAGTTTTGCAATCAAACTAAATAAAGTGATTTTTCGTATGGGTAGGTTTACAAGTTAAGCGTATAATCTTATTTTTATTTTACTGTACTAAAATTAAACAATGAAATTATTTTTTATGTACATAGAATGGATAATTTATTTATATTTATCTAAATTAGTTCCTTTATTTATATGTATTTAATAAAGCATTATCTATTATTGATGTAAAATGATAGGATAATGTAACATGCATTTTTAATGTTTTGTACTTAAACAATTAATTTTTGGTTTAGTATGATATATAGCTAAAAATAAAATATGGAAATAAATTCAGCAAATATCTGTTTTACTTAACTTCGAAGAATAAGTAATCTAGGTAATTTAAATCCTACTTGCTTGAAATCTGTTTCTAACAATTTGAAGAAAAGGAAAACAATCGAGTATTTGATATTTTCTTCTTAATTTATATTGAAAAATGCAGATTACTTTTATAAATCATCGTATTTTACATTTCATTTTCATTACTGATTGCCTTTCATAAAATACGGTAAAACTGGATATTATGGTCCAGTTTGGCGCATTTAAAAAAAAATGCCAAATCTGTTGTTTTTGTGCATTTTAGAAAATCGTTAACTCATCATACTGCATGGTTAGGAATTGAATTAATTCTGTAAACATGCAAAAAATTAGATCATGTAAACATGAAAAGATATGCAAAACAGGACTTCAAGAAAAACAACGAAAAAGTGGGGAAAGTGTAGAATCATCCACTGCTTGTTACGTTTATAAGAATTGCACATACTTGGTATCTGTGTACACATCAACCTACTTTCACTTAAAAAAAAATCCCAGAATTGCTCAAAATAAAATAAATAAAATATCTAAAAACTTTTACCTCTAAATTATCTATTATATTATAAACATCACCAACAAATTCATACCGCAAACATTACAAATGGTTACAAATACTTAGTGTCAAATATTTAAATTATTTTCATGCTTCAACTAAAACGTATACCAAATTCCTACAAACATAAAATTCACAAAATAACTATCATTTAATTAAAATATCACTAAACCATGTACACGTCAACTTATTTTTACTTAAAAAAACATCCCAGAATTGCACAAAAATGGCATTGCGCACACTCTTCACTATATCCATGTACACTGCTTTTTTATCATAAATTAGAAAAATTTCACGAAAATGCATGAAAATACTCAATGTATACTACTCAAACATATTCCAAAATACTACAAACATATAACTCACAAAATCACGATCATTAAATTAAAAAACACTACTTAAAATATAAATAAGCACATACATTAAATTAATAAAAATTAGATTACAATCCTAATTACTTAAACTAAATCATTGCTAATAACAATTTTCAAATAATACCATTTTAATTTATTTACTCCTTACATTTAGAACAATGCATAAAAATAATATCCTCAAATGATTAAAAATACTAACTTACCTAATCTTCTTCAGAATCTTCATTACGTCGCTGCAGTACTACTGCTAATTTCTAAATCCTAAATTCAGTAGTCAACTGGAAGTCTATTCACCAAGTAATAAGAAATTAATAAAATTTCACCTATACTCAAACTACTTTCAGCAAACCACGTACCCTTCCTTGCACTCCTTTTCACAAAATGTCCATTTTCACCATATCTCTTGCACCGCCATTTAAACTTGTAATATCCTTCCTTTCACACAATCTCAACTTATTATTATTATCAGATAAACGTATTAAAAATTTAGAATTCACTTTACATAGCGTCATGCAGTCCGAAAATTAATCAACACTATTTCACACAACACACAATGAAGCTTTTCCAAATTAACCCCCTTTTCCGATTCAAGAACTGTAATTCGTCCATTAATGTCACGTTTCACACAACACAGAATATAGCTAAATACGAAATTTCCAGATTTCTCCCCTTTTTTGATTAAACAACTGTAATTCGTCTATTAATGTCACATGACATATCTCATGATCTCTCATTTCCCGCACACAAAATAATGCGTAATCGGAACTGAGTGCTTCTTACATTATTACCAAAGTCCTAGGTAGTAACCTTTATCGCCTCCAAAATGTCGCCAAACTACCAGTTACCATATTCCAAAGATCAGCCACTTCAGGATCTTTAAAATCATACTTATAGTTCACAGCAAGGTACCAGGTAAAATAAATAACTTAATAAAACATCTTTACTTCTATCTCGCACAACCTTAAAAGAGCACTTATTACTACCCCTTTCAATCCCACTAAATACCCATTTCGAATTCACTTTAGTTAAGGCCATGGGATCCAAAAATTAACCAACACTGTTTCACACAACACAGAATAAAGCTAAATACAAAATTTCCAGATTTTTCCCAGATTTCCCCCCTTTTCCGATTAAAGAACTGTAATTCGTCCATTAATGTCACATGACATATCTCATGATCTCTCATTTCCCTCACACAAAATAATGCGTAATCGGAACTGAGTACTTCTCACGTTATTACCAAAGTCCTAGGTAGTAACCTTTATCACCTCCAAAATGTCGCCAAACTACCAGTTACCATATTCCAAAGATCAGCCTTTTTCATATTTAAAATTACACAGCTAAATAAATGGTACGTCATTTTCCCTGAAACTATGAAATTCTTTTCCCAGGGAGAGATTCTCTTTGGTTGAGAACCTTTGTTCTAGTTGGTTAGAAAGCATTCTGAAGTTTTCTTTAGTAGTATATCTAGGGAAGGGCAAGAGGGGACATCTATCCCCGGTTGCAGCATCTAGGGGGCACTAAATTGATGTTACTAAACTTTATAATGAAACGTTTTATATTCTTGGCAAACAAGAGTCTTCATTTGTATTTGGGCAAAATGTTGGCGAAATCTGAAGTTGCCCCAGGTTTGAAAATTCTGGCTATGCCTCTTATTCTGTTTGTTACTTTTTGTATATTTTCCTTTAATTATCTATTAATGTGCAGATTTTAACTGTTAATTATTTAGATATATTTATTATTATATCTGTTCAAAAATTATTTTCTTTTAAGGTAGTTTGCATTCACATTTTCCCTCATAACAATGGATCAGGATAAATCATAATTGGATCACAGTGAAAGTTAGGGAAGTACTGATATATAAAATTTATGAAAACTGAAAAAATATATATAAATAATTCAGCTGTATCTAATTTCATTATGCAAACTGTATTTAAAAAGGAAAAACTGTGCTGTTTTTCTTCTGCTTATTGTTTAATATTTTGTGAGAAAAAGCATTATTCTGTATTAGTGCAGATCATGCAGAAACAGCATTTGAGTTAAAGTTGAACCATGATAAGGCAAAAGTAAGGGAAACTAGAAAAGTATCTAGTAATTGAAAATTTGAACTAAGAAGACATTTGGCAAATCGAGATTGAAAATCGTTTAGGACAGAGGAGCAACAGGAGAAAAATTTCTTCCTGGAGGAGAATTTCATAGTTTCAGGGAGGGAATGCATTCAACCTTTTATTTGGATGTTAAGCGTTTAGTTTTAGTTTATCAATATAAGAAACTTCTTTTACTCAAATTTTGGTATTTAGCAGTATTTTCTATACTTTTTGTTGTTTAATATATAAACACATTAAAAAGTAATCTGAATCTGTGTAAAATACATATGTATTTTTTGAGTTTTGGATCAGAGGGTCAAAATGATTGCTGATAATGCTGTGTAATGCTGATACGGGTGCATGCGGCAAAATAGATAGAGAATCACTAATTTAGGATTTTATGAATAATGAGTTTTGGTGAGAATTCTTTCATATAGAAGAAATGTTGAAGCAGGTGTAAAAATTGAAAAATGTAGTCTTACCATTGTATTTTTATAATTAATCCTGTGATTACATTTTAGAAATGATATAAAAAGTGATATTGACAAGAAATGTGCATAGAGTAATAATGGGAC